TCCTCTTTTTCTTTGAATGTCTATCTCCTTCAGCTTTTCCACCAATTGGTCCATGTTCAAGTGGTCATACTTGTCAGCCATCCTAGCTAGCTACTCTATCCAGTTGATCCAATGCCGAATTAAGGATTTGTTTGCTCAAGGGTTTTCAGTGACTCTATTCTCTTTCCCAAATTATGCTTCAAGACAGCGTGCTGTCAGATCCCACCACTGACACCACATGTGGTGGGCCAGTAGGGGGGTGCTCCTGCACTGAGCCACCCACTTCACTGCACCCGACCACCTTCCAGGCTCCGAGTGCCTCTCTGGGGGTGTGTCACATCCAGCCAACTCCCTTCCTGGAGCACACCCACAAGCCTGGGCGTAACACTGCCACCACCCAGGGTCTGGACTGTTCTTTGCCCTGTGCCCCCTGGGAAACACATGCCTAGTAGTCCTTGAGGGTACTCTACCCACTGCAAGAACTTGGGGTGCTTCCCTTAGTCTGAAGCACAAATAGTGGTCTCCCTTGGCCAGCCAGACCAAGGGGACCCCAAGGCATAATCTAGACCCTCTCCCAATAAGTCTCCCATGCTAGGTACAGAGGAGAACTTTATTGATTACAAGGAGTAGGTTTGGAGTAGGATGTACAGAGTGGAGCAATATCAGAGAAATACCTTAGAGTAAACAGGGTGGCTGGGTAGCCTTTGATCACGCATCTGAGTTACTGCAAGCTATACATCTAGTTGGATCTCAAGTAGTTTACTCACAAGTATCATCCAGAGGCTGATAGAGCTTTCCTCTGGAGGCAGGCAGTTTGTAGTGTGTCCATGTATTGAGAGAGAGAGCTGAGCTGCATTCTGTGTCTTCATCATAGCTGCTACCACTCCTCCTGGGCAGTCTTGACACATATAGACCTTCTGACCTCATTTACCTGACCCAATGAAGGCCAGCAGAAGTTGGCTGCCAGCCAAACAATTTGAAATGTATCACTGGTTACTGGGCAGAGGGACAGTGGATTTTGCCTCCCCTCCCAGCCATCAGATCATTGCTTAGAAAAATGGAGAGTTTAAGCCCCCCTCCCAGGTGTGTGAGGCCAATCATGTAGGCAAAGGGGCCTCTCACTTACTTCAGTGAGCTACTTAGCCACCAGAGGACTAGATGTGGGGACCAAGTTTAAAAGAGAGAGAGGAAAAATGACAGAAACCATGAAGGAGGCCTGGAGGAGGCTGGGATGGAAATCCTCCACAGTCTCTCTTGTTCTTTTCACACCATGACATAAAATGAGATGATGAGTGGTTTGTTTGTTTTTAAATACAGATTTTAAAAATGTCTATTACAGAAAATATGCATTAAATCCAGAAAATTAATAAGAAAATTAACTTGCTGCTTACTGATTTTCAGGAAACAAGTTTGAAAATTGATTTAAGTGCAAATCTAAACTCAGCCTTGATTTTTTTTTTTTTTTTTTTTTTACTTGCTTATATTTGAGAACTGCAGCATTCCTGTTGTTTCACCCATACCTTGCAGAGAGAGATTAGCAAGCTCTATTCCACCTATCTGAAGGTATTTTTCTGAGGAGAGGAAGATAAGGACCCAGATTCTGTGCTGACAAGCGTCCACTTTATGCCATTTCATTGCATAAAGGTCAGCTCAAAGTTATCAGAGTAATTGCCCTCTATGACACTTTGTCAGCACAGAATAGGTAGATCGTGGTTCTCTCCAGTTCCTCCATTCTTCACTACGATTCAGTGAGGGAATTCTACATGGACTCTGCCTCCCTTATGGACACTTTAAACAAAGGCGTTGTATAATCAGGTTGCCTTCATATGGGATCTATGCCTTCATTACATTAATGTCCACTCTGAGAGTCTCAGTCCATACTCCCACTCAGGTATGGAATTCAGGAGATGCAAAAACATCACTGCAGAATTTCAACTTTGCTCAAAAGAAAAGTGCCACTTGCTGTTCAAAGGGTGTAGATCTCTGCAGCATCAATTAAATAAATATTGCTACCTCCTTTGACCTACATGGATAGCCAGTGTTTGAAGTTTTATGGGTTGTTCCCACTAGGAAGACAGAAGATGGAGTCACATGTTTCTTTGTTGCAGTCCTATTTGTTATAAAGAATTTACAAAGTCCTGTATTCCTGAAAATAGTAATAATTAAGCAATGGGAGCTTTTTTCACGGCTCCCAGAGCTTTTGTAGCCAGCACTCTATCCCAGTGGCAAGCAACCTTTTTAAGCTGCAGGCTAGAGTTACGCAGTTTGGGTCAGAGGCAGGCAGGTGGATAGGCGGGCTCTAGGAACCAGTCACTACCACTTTTTTCCCCCATGGCATATAGAGAAAGTGCCCACCACTGCTGTTCTTTTCTCCCATACCAGGATGGGAAAACAACTACCACCAAAGCCCCATGTTGTGGGCCAGATCAAATGGCTCCATAGGCCAAATCCTGCCCACAGGCTGTCAACCTGTGGTCTCCCGAAAATCTCTTTTTTTGAGGGATGTGCTATTTCATAGATTTCATAGACATTCGGGCTGGAAGGGACCTCGGAAGATCATCGAGTCCAGCCCCCTGCCCAAAGGGCAGGAAGTCCGCTGGGGTCATAGGATCCCAGCAAGATGAGCATCCAGTTTCATCTTGAAGGTGTTCAATGAAGGCGCTTGAACCCCCTCCGGTGGCAGGCTGTTCCAGACCTTGGGGGCTCGGACAGTAAAGAAATTCTTCCTTATGTCCAGCCTGAAACGATCTTGAAGTAGTTTGTGACCATTTGACCTCGTCATCCCTTGGGGCGCTCTGGTGAACAAACGTTCCCCCAGATACTGGTGGTCACCCCTGATAAACTTATAGGTGGCCATCAGATCACCCCTGAGCCTGCGCTTTTCCAGGCTAAAGAGCCCCAGGGCTCTCAGCCTGTCATCGTAGGGTCTGCTTCCCTGACCTCTGATCATGCGCGTGGCTCTTCGTTATATATAATGAGGTATGTGTTTCCCTGTCTCAAGAGCTTTGTTTCTGCTCTCTCTGTATGCCTCTTTCTCTCTCACATGTGCATACAGCTATGTCAAACAATACCTTGTTCCTTACATTTGCATTCAGCACCCCAGTGTAACACATTCACCTACATACTTCAGGTGCCTCACTGGCCTTGCATGTGACTTGTATTTGGGGCAGGGGCTCCTATTGTATCAGTTATTCCCACAAAGGAGCTTAACTCTTTTTCTTTATTTAGCCTAACTGAACAGTAGCTGTTACATCCACTGGCTTCAGTGAGGTTTCACCCAACCCCCAACATAGTGTCAAAGCACATCATTTAGGTACTGAGTTGAATTAAAATGTTACTATCACAGCCAATAGTACCAGTATTTCAACCTTAATTTCTTCTTCATAATAAGACAAAGGTTCAGGGATTTTGTTTTCTTCCCTATAACTTATGCTTCATGTTCCAAAGGAATTATTCATTTTATAGGCAATGTTGTTGAAACTCTAGTCTAGAATTTCTTCATAATTTTCCAGCAACTTTACTTGTACAGAATTGATCTCATGCAGGCTTCAATAACAGTCTCTGGTTAAGATATCCTCTCCATTCAGTGGCTGTGTCCAATTGAGGTTGTGGCCAGCCCTTATGCTTGCATTCTAGCTAGAAAGCCAGCTAGAAAGAGCTGTATACTTTTTCCTCCAGCACCTACATGCAGCACACAGTAGGGCTCCATTATTTGTTAGCTAAAATTAAAACAAAAAATGCCTTGAAACAGACAGTAATATTACTACTTACACATCTCCCTCCAGATACTAATAGCATGTTAATAGCATTTCATAGCTTTGTGGCCCTATTTCGCGATTGCCTGCTCAATGTTTGCAGTGTAACACCTTTTGGAGAGAGTTCCAGATGATTTATTGCCTAAAAATAGGGCGATCAGTGCGTTTCTTTTCTTTACAGCACTATATTTATTGATGGTTTAATCTGTTTCTGGATCATCTATTGCTAGTCCCCTTGCACTTATTTAATACATGAATGATTACAAGCTATTTTGTTCTTTTATGTTTAGATATTTTTGTATGGATGATATTTTAAAATAAACTAAGCACAATCCAGAACTGAGGGTGGGGGTGGAGGTGGAGGGGACAACCTTTTTGGAAGGCATCCCACAAATTAGCCCTGAAGCCTCCCCAAGAACCACTCTGATCCCTTTCTCCTGCCTGATCTGCTACTCTACAGTAGTATGTACTACTACTGAAATGTTCCTGTCCCAGGAGATAGGGATATTCATTCAAATGATCATTGAACAAGTCAGTCATTACCTCATTTTCTCAACTTCTGTAAGCTTAGTGTTGTCATCAGACTGATAAAATATTGGCTCTGCTCTTCAATAATGTACAGAGGTTAGCTAAAAAGAGCACATGTATCAAAGCCAATGGTACCTCTTCCTCTTCATTTATTTTAATAAATTGGGTCCTCTGCAATATAGCTATATTCTCATTTGAGTAACATTAGTCAGGCATAGATCTCTCGAGTATTGGTAATTACTTTCACAGCTACCCACAGATTGTCATTCTGATGTTTAAATGTGTTATGGGAATTTTTTTAATGATAATGGGATTTTTACATTGTGTGTGATACCATTTGTGCATTAGAGCAAAGGGTCAGACTTTGCAACACTGAAGACCTGGCTGGCAACTTGGCAACAATCTGCAGCTGGTTTTCATGCAAGTGCAGGGGACACGTTTGACACCAGACATTACAAGTAAATACACACACACTGAATATGCTTTTTTTTAAAAAATACTGTTCATGCACATGAAGATTTCCTTTTACCTTCCTGCCACTGCAATATGTACTTTCTCCTATTTGAATTCACCCACAATAAACCCTGCAGTACATGTTCTTTTTTTCCTCTGTGCAGTTACTGTTCTTGAGGACTCTGCAAATATTTGCTCCTGAGGCTGCATTTGAGCAGCTCTGAACTGAGGCCGCCTTCTCTGCATATTGAGAATCTTGAGCTCCCATTACTTTGAAGGGAATTGAGACCCCCTCAGGACCATTCAGGAGGTGTACAGTACCTGGTCAAATAGGCCTTCTAATAAACGTCAAAAGAAAGCATTAAGAGTAATCCTAGTGCAAACCGTGTGCTGCTAGCCATCAAAGAAGTAAGTGTCCATTTTTAAGTATCTTAATTGAAACATCACCAAAGCTTTGTTCTAAGATGAGTTTTCTCTTAGTACAATTCAGTGGTAATTAACTCTAGTGTGTTCTTGCGTCAGAATGTGTATGTGTGTGTGTTTCTCACAAGCCTTCTCTCCCAGCTCCCCATTTTATCTCCCCTCCCCCTTCCTGCACTTGGTTGCTCCATGCCGTTTGAAACAACCAATGTCCTGCTAGGTCAGGAGAATGATTCAGGGACTCCCTCCAGAGTCAAAGAGCTGGAGCCCTTGTAAGAGGTAGGTTTGGCAGCTTTCCCAGGCACAGATTACATCACCTCTTTGGTGGTGGTGGCCTTAAGTGACCCTAGGCTTGATGAGCTTCTGAATGCTTATTTGGCAGGACAATGAAAGCGCTGATTTGTACAGCTACCACAAACTGGCCTCCCATTTTACATGAAAATACAGGCTTCAAGAAAAATACAGGAATCTAGGTTGTGATCTTGGAGTTGTTAATATTCTCCATGCTTACTGGCTATGTCAAAAGAAGCAAATTACTGCAGAGGTTTAATGATGCAGGATCATCCCATTTTGTAACCTCACACAAAAAGCTGTTGCTGCAGTCCTTATGGAAGCGAATGTCCCTGTGACTGAAAAAAAAAGATTTTCCCTTGCAGAGGACTTTAAGAGCTGGCTCATAAGTCCTAGTGAAGGGTTGTCAGAATGGGATTGCATTGCAGCCAATCAACAGCCCATCCCTTTGGAAACTGTCTAATGGTGGGAAAGAAAAGAAACTGAGTGTATATCTGTGCCTGACTTGCAGAACAGCCCAGTAATTAGGATACTCCTTTGGGATATGGAAGTCCTGGGTTCAGTCCCTCCTTTCCCTGATCTAGGACATGGATCTCCCAGATGCTGGATGAATGCACTAACCTGGCATGGTAAAGTTGTTCTCTTTGTGGCCCAATGACTTTGTATAAACCAGAGCTTAAAACTGACCCCAGTTTAGCACCACTTGAACTTGGGTCTTCACATCCCAAGGGAATGCCCTCATCACAGCATTGTTTTTCAGTGGAGGTTTCTTTCTTTTGTGCTCATGGCGGGGGTTGCCAAAAATATATATCTCACTTTTCTACCACTTTTCTATACTTTATAACTTTACACTTCAAAACCAGAGCTGTATGTGCAGGAAAGAACCTACCAAGAACTCCCTCAGACAAGCCTTTTATTGTTGATTTTTTTTTGTAGAAAACTTTTAAATAAATTAATAATGAATTAAAAAGACCAGTTACTTTTCTTCATGGCTGCCTTCACACATGGAAAAGGGCTTTTTCAGCTTATTGTCATAATTACAGGCAAGTGGCAGGTAGAAGTCAAAGAAGGTTAGTTATTTGGAAAGCTGCTTAAGAAAAAGAGTTCTTGGGCATGCTGGGAACCACATAAAGTCAAAACTAGCGCTGTGTGAATTGAAGACAGCTGACAAAAGATCTGACTCTACAGGCTAGAGTTTGGCAGACTAACCTGCAATGTCTGGATAGCTGTGCGACAAAGCGTATGACCCTGTATCATTGGAACAGTACCCCAGAAGAGCCTCCGCTTTGAAATCTGAATTTGAAGAGCTTGAAGTGAAAGTCATACTCTTCCCCCCACTTCCCTCTTTGCAGATTTGTATCCACTGAGAGGTGAGCTTTAATGGGCAATGTTATGACAATGGTGGTGTTGAGGCTGCGATTATTGGTGCAGATGACACATTGTAGCGAGTTCAGGACCTGGATTCTATTATGACAAGGTCAATAAAAGGACCCACCTAGAACAGAACTGAGAAGAACGGTGCCCCCCACCACCTACCCCCAGCATAGGTGGCCCTAAGTGTATTTGTTAAAAGCAATTGCAGGACGTATCTAGATCTATATCCAGTTCAGGAGAGCAGAGTAAAGAGAATTAATCAATGTGGAATCAATGCGGAGCTGTGTTGTGGATGCTGAATGATTTGTTGTTGATCAGTTGCTGATTGTGCTAGGAAGCAAAGTAGGTATGTATTTCATAGATTTCATAGACATTTGGGCTGGAAGGGACCCCGGAGGATCATCGAGTCCAGCCCCCTGCCCCAGGGGCAGGAAGTCAGCAGGGATCATAGGATCCCAGCAAGATAAGCATCCAAATGTGTCTTGAAGGCGTTCAAAGTGGGTGCTTGAACAGCCTCTGGCGGCAGTCTATTTCAAACCTTGGGGGCTCGGACAGTGAAGTACTTTCTTATGTCCAGCCTGAAATAGTCGCTGTGGAGTTTGTGACTGTTCAATCTTGTCAGCCCTTGGGGCGCTCTGGTGAACAGACGTTCCCCCAGATCCTGATGAATATCCCTGATAAATTTATAGGCGGCCATCAGATCACCCCTGAGCCTGGGCTTTTCCAAGCTAAAGAGTCCCATAGCTCTCAGCTTGTCATCGTAAGATTTGTTTTCCTGACCTCTGATCATGCGCGTGGCTCTCCTCTGCACCCTCTCAAGCTTCTCCACGTCCTTTTTGAATTCTGGAGCCCAAAACTGGACGCAGTACTCCAGCTGCAGCCTCTCCAAGGCTGAGTACAACGGGAGAATGATGTCCCAGGATTTGCTTGAGAAGCATCTATGGATGCAAGCCAGCGTTTTGCTCGCTTTACTAGCCAC